GCTCAGCCAGTGAGCGGGAACCGGTCTGTATGTGGGATCCGAACCCTCGGCGGGAGCGCCGCCGCACTTCCCAAGCGGCGCACTAGTGCAGTGCGCCACCGGGCCGGCCCTGAACTTTTCTTTACCAAGGCTGATTTGCTTACCACCCCAGCTGATTGCCCAACCTGCCAAAAGCAGAGGCCAACATAGCAATGTTCCCTGGGGGATCAGTTAGAATTAGCTGTGATTGTCCTCACAGATGCAGACACATATTCTACATAGGAATTTGCAGTTTCTACCCAAAGTTCTTCCAGTAGTTGAAATGTAGTTGATACACAGCATGAGGAATTATACATCAGTTAGAAGAGGAAGAGATGATGTACCTATAGCAATATGAATGGATCTTAAAAACCCAGTGCTTAGTGAAAAAAAGTAAGAAGTAGAATGGCCTAATATCATTTACGTAATTAAAGATAAATTGAATAAAAAACAATAGTATATTGTGTAAAGAACATATTCAAATTGAAACACATAAAATAATTGTTTATTTTAGGGAGAGGAGAATGAGAGTGGGAATAAAATGAGTCAAAGTGTAGGTCTGTGCAAAAACTGAAGGATGATAATATGCCATAAATTCATTAATGTGATTAGCCCAACAACTCTGTACTTAGGGTAAAAGAAAAAGGGTGAGCAAGAACTCTAAAAAAATATAGAAGCCAAAGTTGAAAGATCTTTTTTTTACTTCCTCCTCTGTCATTCAAGACTTGAGTAGGTGAGTGCTGGCCGATTAGTTCAGTTTGTTAGAGCACAGCCTTATAACACCAAGGTCATGGGTTTAGATACCCATTACTGTAGCCCAAAACAAACAAAATAAAGGGAAGACCTGAGTAGATAACTTAGGTCAAATTACTGGAAACTCCCATTCACATCTCTGAATCTTGAAGCATGAAGATGCAGGTCAGTTTAGAAATCATTTATAGTGCAGTAGCACTGGCACTGAGAGTTCAATGCCCATTTGAACCATTTGAACCTGCCCAGCAGGGAATGCACAGGTCAATTGGCATTGTCAACTGGTGCCAGTGCCATTGGTGGCATCCTAACTAGATTGCTCTGTGCCTAGGGTGGCTTATTGATAGTATTCCTTAATTTCAGACTTTCTGACCCTGGATCTCCAGTCTTTATGTTGATTTGTGAGAAACCCAGTTTCCATCATATAATTTGTTTTCTGCTTAAATTAGCCAGATTAGATTCTGTTGTTTGCAACCAAACAGCCCTGGCTAATATCCCAGAGTCCTAACTGGGTTTTGGAATGCAAATGGCCTCATTAGCTGGCCTAAGTCCCCTTCATTCTTCTCTATTCTAGACAGAGCCAGTGTTTTGATTTTATGCATGAGACTTCACCACACAGCCGATAAAACTAGAGTGACAGATTCCAGGAATAAGGCTTAGAGTGTGATTAAATGGAATCGGCACTGTAATTGCATTAACTTAATATTTTCTGTGTTGGTTCTCTCAGCCATTAAATTTCTGCTCTTTAAATATTACCGCACTATTGAAAAAGGATGGAGAGTTGTTAGAAAATGTCTACTTTCTTGCTAGAAACTAGCAACAGATAACAGTTAGTTGCCATATCGCAGTTTTTATGCAAAAGAAAATGGTTCACGATTTTATAATACAAATCAATGTTTTCATTCCGTGGAATTTTCAGTCCTTCCTAGGGGGGGCCTTCAGGTATCCCATATTGCCAGGAAGAACTTGTTTATCACAATGTACAAGTTGTTGACCGGACATACTGAAGACTTTGATGTATCACTAACTTTCTGATAAATATCTGAAACTCTTATTAAACACATATATATATGATACTGGTTGTTATTATCCAGTATCTGGAATTAATAACTGGATTAGTAGTATTTTAGCCTGAGAACAAATTCCTATTCCTTAAATAATTAAAAAGTTAATTGTTAATAAATTAATAAAGTAATAAATTTATTTGCTATTATTAGCATTTACAATTCACTTTCTAGCCTTATCAGCTGTGGGGCACATCCACACACACACCACCTCAGTGATTAACTTGTGTGTATCAGCAAGAAATATGACATATTTTCAAGTGTGGTTTTCCTTGTTTGAACTATTAAAATCTTATTCAAACTAATAGGAAAAGGTTCACTATAGCATTTCCCAGTAAGACTTAATCCACAAAAAATATAGACTCTCAGACCAATTCAAAGGGTTTTACTGTTGTATTCTTTAAATTCCACCATCTTATTTTAAGACTATCATATGGTGAGCCTGGCAAGCAGCATGAAGATGAAGGCCTAGTGCGTGAGCTCCCTTTAAGACTGGGATCTCAAGTGGAAGTCCTTCTTCCGACCAGACTGATACTGCTGGCAGAAGTCTATAAAATATCCACTTTCATTAAAAACATCAGCCTGGCTGTCAAAATGTCCTAGACCTTAACCCGGTGCGCTGATGTTCTGACATGGTTCTGCTAAAACAAATAGAAACCATGTTAAGACTCCTTAAAAATACTCATCTAGAATCTGACTAGGTATTTATTTCTGAAATGATTAAATTGGTTTGGTTATAATTTCAAAAATTTTTTTTTTAGATAAATGAGATAACTCACCAAAGTGAAAGAAAAATATTGATTTGGGTTTGAGCTTAGGTATAGCACCATGCTAATTTGAATAAACATGTAGCATTAATTTATTATTTAAGAAAAAAAATGAATCAATAGATAACTACATGCAAATAGCGGAAATGTAAAAGGGTAAATTTTACTGGGTTCTTGAAAGTATGTGGTTAATTCTAATGTTTTGAGTAAAAATACAACCAGGTATAACAAAAATATCTGAATTAGGATGACATTAGGGAAGGAACGAAGGGAAATGGCTAAGTGAGGAAAAAAATATGATTTTTAAATTTGTGATGAAGATAGAAATTTACATAGAAATAACAGTGAATCTATATCACTGCATTATCACCAGATGCACACAGAGAAGATATTCACACAATTCTTGTAAAATACTGAGGCCATAAAAGTAAAGGGAAAATGACTCTTGGCGGAATCTATCTTGAGTTACTGCCAAGACCTAAATGTTCCTAAGGTGGCTTAAGACATTTGATGAACTCAAAGCACAGCCAGGTTGTGTAGCTCCTAAAATTTTGCTTCTTTATAGTTCTTCCTTACAAGCTTTTATATGTATAAAAACAGCATAAATTAGTAATACAATGAGTTATTAAATAAAAAATATCCAAGAGAACATACCCATTGACATTCCCTGGAAATCATAAATACAATTCCAAAATAACTATTAAAAATGATTGGCTTAATCTAAGCCAATGCCAAAGCTAAGGAAGATACTAAAATATCTATGGTATAAAAAGGAGATACTTATGCATAAGAAATAAAGAACAAAGAGATATTCATACTACTTACTGGAAGCCCCTGTTTTCCTGGTAGCCCAACTTTTCCAGGGTTTCCTGAAATGCCATCTGCTCCATGGTTTCCTTGCATTCCTTTTGGCCCAGGTAGGCCTGGGAGTCCCTTGATAATTAAAAATTACTTGGATTATTGAGAGATGCTGGATAGATGTTTAAATAACAAATACTTTTATATTTATGGGGGACGGGCAGAGAGGAAGTTTATATTTTTATACCCTGTTCCAGGGAAAATTTTCCTGTTTTCTGGATTCCTTAATGATTTACTATTTGTATTCAACAGATAGCTGTCTTTAAAAGTTCCCTTAACAAAAATGACAAGCTAATCAGCAATTTATTGTACAGCTTTTTGAGCTTTAGTGTAATTATCTGGTATTTCTCATTCTGTCAGCCCATACTTTATCTAGCTGTATAGAGAAAAGATCAGCTATATGCACCTGTCAGCTTAGGATATAGGCTGTCATTCACCAACTGCAAAACCTTGGATTGTGTTGTTTTCCCAAGAAACAAATTATGGCTCTTTTTGCTGCCATTTTGAATCAGATACTTACATGACTGAAGAAAAGTCTGAACATTTTGTTTCTACTCTTGGGCAACTGGATTTTATCTGCAGGGATTTTCTGATCTGAATGTGCCTATAATTTATGTTCATTTCTCTGCTTCTTTTGGACCAACACAAGCCACCCAAAGCAGTTATCTAAGCCTTCACTAGGTGACATTAGCAGGAAGTCTTTGCTAATAAACCAGTCAACACATATCTGCCTGGCCAGAGAAGGAAATTGATGGCTAAGGTAGTATAAATCTTTGTTCTTTGATGAAAGGATTTAAAAAATATTTTTCCTAAGAGTTTCCATTCCATTTGCCAGGAGAGTAAGAGGCCGAGTCCTTCAATTAAAATACAGCTGATGTCTTCTTAATTATTCTTGAAGATCTCTGACCTTTGTCAATATTCATTTAGTCGTGATTCTAGGTTCCCTGATTTTCAGTGGTTCACCATCAGAGAGAAGCATTAAGTCCACAGAGAAAGCTCCATAACACAGGAAAACAGCATCCTTCAACTGCAGGGACTTACATTTAAACAGCAAGTTTGGTTTTGAGTTAATGGTCATATTTTGTTACCTCTGTATTCCAGTATGGGTTTAAATGTTTCTTTCAAGATGATCTGATTTATCCAACATGACATAATTGGCCCCAAACTTTTCTACTTGCTAAAGTTGCCAATTCTATTTAGAAAAACAAGGAAGATGAAAGAAACTTGTTACTTACAGGGATTCCACGTTTCCCAGAAGGGCCAGGAGCTCCTTTTTTCCCTTTAGGACCCTAAACACGGGAGGCAAAGTTGTCAATTAACTGTGATAAACAATTAAAATGAAGTCATAGGAAAGTACACTGAGACCTGGATGGTGCAGCAAGTACCGCCAGTTAACTAGTTGTATATCACTGGGATTGCCATTTAACTTTCCTGGGAGTCACTTTGTTCATCTGAAAATGAGACAATTTGACCAGATCATTTACGAATTTCCTTATCACTCCAAATTTTATGATTTAAGAATTGAAGTTCTAGCTCTAAAAAGGAACTGAATAGATTATTTAATAAATGTCCCCACTTTAAGGCAGGGCCCTTGTCCCTTTTGAAAGAGGTTAAATAATTAATTCAGTAAATATTGACTGAGTATCATGCATCAGGGATTCTGTTATGTGCTAGGAATGGAAAAACAAACTTCCTGCTTGCAAGGCACTTTGGCGTAATGAGGGACATGAACCCATAGCCTAAAATGTGCTTCTCTGGAAACACAGAGAAGAACATACTTGTGAATCAAAGAAAAGATATTCATTTCCCATGGAACTGTTTGTTTTTTCCATGTGTGAGATGTTTTAAATCATAATTGATTCAGCAGTCACTGGTCTGCCAGGATAGTTAGGAACTCTGCCCTTGCAAATCATACCATTGTTCTGATGATATCCTAAAATTATTTTAAGGAAAAACCTGTGGAAAAGAGTGACCTGGTTCACAAATAAGAAAAAGAATTATATTGTCATTACCAGACACAATTCTCAGAAGTCATCAAAAGTTCTCACAAACAGGGTAATTCCACCAAAAAGCGATGTTAAGTTATTCAAATTTGAAGACAAATTAGGCCAAAGATTCAATTTAACAACAACAACAACAAAAGAAACAATTTCATAAGATATCACATCTTCTCAAAACAAGCTTAAATATTTTAAGAAGAAATAGTATAGGCTGTCATAAAGAACATTTTCTGTAAGAGATAAAAATTCAGCTTTGATAATGAGGAGATATGTGGATCAAGGGTTCTACCTCCAACTTTGAAAACTATTTTACTTGCCTTAAAAGTCACTAATGCAGTCTTTCTAAGGGTGAGGAAACCAGAAAATGGGATAGGTGTTGACCTCGGTTCAGTTGAAGTATATACAATTTCTGGAACATAAAATACTATAGTAAAATATGTCTTACAGAAGATAATAAAGAGGTTAAAAGAAAAGCAAATAAAGACTATCATAAAATTGAAAAAAGTTCTGATTCCAGTCATCTTGAATAGTACTAATTAAATAGCATATTAATCATGATAATATTCAAATATGTTAACCAGTGTTTTTTTTCCTTCATGGTATTTCTTTTTTTGAAAAAAGATAGATCTGTTCTAGACTTGTGATTTTCAAAACAGACTTTTCCTTGGCTTATGAATTTCAAAATAGTCCAATAAAACTCATTGTGGAGGTAATAGTTTGAGAAAAACATATTTTCCATTTCAAAAACATGCTTTTTAAATATAAAAGACTGATTCTTAAATATTGAAAGTCTACCTTTGAGTATCAAAAACCAAGGTTATGAAGGACTCAAGTCATAAAATTCATGCCATAAAGAACAGATTTAGAAGAATTACAATAATGTGAGTTTTTCCTATGTAAGGGAATATAAAGATCTTCAAGTTTGGAAAAAAGAACAGGAGAAGCAGAAGAGAAGCAAGACTGTTAAACACTGACAAGGACCTCTGAGAAGTGCCCTTTGCCCCATCCTGCCCTCAAGTCCTGGGGTGAGTAGAAACAATAATACTCCCAGATAAGTTTGGGGATTTAAGCACAGAGATGATATCTACAGAGACTAAAGTCCTCATTGAGAAGTCCATACAAAGTGCACTAAGTGTCAGCAACACAGTAGAAATTTCTGTCCTAGAGATGTCTAGACAGTGAGCTGGAGAAAGTCTCTGAGTTCTCCACCACCCGGCATGGTGTGGGGAGCAGAAGAATGTTATTTCCATGTGGCCAAGAACAGAAGGATATGGCTCTGAGAGCCCTATCTGGGGAGGCCTTACACCTGAAATGAGAAAATCACTGTACCTGCGGGCATGAGGCAAAGAACTTCTGCCAGGAGAGCCAAGGTAGATGCCAACATGGTAGATGATGGCAACTGGGGGCCTCTAGGGATGCTAGTGTGAATAGATGATGACTGAAGACCAAACTCACCTCCTGCTTCCCTTTCCCACCATTTCCTCCCAGAATGTACCTGCAAACTTGAGGAGAGAATAAATGGAGAAAACTCTAAGTCAAGTGCAGGATATTTGAGTGCATGGAGTTAAAGGTCCATTGACTAGATTTCCAACAGTTAGGTTTCTACCATCAGGCAGGATGGGTACTCAGGACAGATGTTAAGATCCATCATAGAAAACATAAACAAAATTACACTTTTAATGTACCACACATGTATGTGAGTGTCTTATCCCAAATATTTAAATAACAAAATTAAAACAAAGTGATTCATATATTATGAATCTTTGACAAAGGCACCAAGCCTATACACTGGGGAAGAGACTGCCTCTTCAGCTGGGAGAACTGGATATCCATATGCAGGAGAATGAAACTAGACCCATACCTTTCACCATACACTAAAGTCAACTCAAAATGGATTAAAGAATTAAATATACACCCTGAAACAATAAAACTTCTTAAAGAAAACATAGGAGAAACACATCAGGAAGTAGGGCTGGACACAGACTTCATGAATATGACCCCAAAAGCACGGGCAACCAAAGGAAAAATAAACAAATGGGATTATATCAAACTAAAGAGCTTCTGCACAGCAAAAGAAACAATTAACAGAGCTAAAAGACAACCAACAGAGTGGGAGAAAATATTTGCAAAATATACATCCAGAATATACAAGGAACTGAAACAACTTTACAAGAAAAAAAACAAGCAACCCAATTAAAAAATGGGCAAAAGAGCTAAGCAGGCAATTCTCTAAGGAAGATATACAAATGGCCAACAGACATATGAAAAAATGCTCAACATCACTCAGCATCCGGGAAATGCAAATCAAAACTACACTGAGATACCATCTCACCCCAATGAGGATGGCTAAAATCCAAAAGACTGTGAATGACAAATGCTGGTGAGGTTGTGGAGAAAAA